CTGATTGTTCATTTTTACTATAATTTCCCAATTCCTCAGCACCACTTTTAACTTTTCATAATACTTATATTTTTTAACTAGACTTTTTCACTTCTTAGATGAAATCAGTAGAGCTTCAGGAGGCAGGGACTTTCCCAGAAGTAACCTCCTTCCTCCACAATCTGATGATGCCAGAACAAAGGGAATATGTCCGCTCCACAGCCAGGGATAGAGACCTGGCAAAAAGCCTTTCCTCTCCCTTCTCTGTGCGGAAGGATGCAAAGTGGAGATGTCTGTTCCATACTGCATTTTGGGCTCTTTCCTCACAGAAGGGAAGAGACTAGAGATGATCTTAAGAGAACTAGATGATCTTAAGGTCCTTTCCAACCCTAACTATTCTATGACTCTGGGCAGCCAAAGGTGAATATGCTTGGCAAGGCCAGAAGAGGAAAGTGGATGTAAGTCAGTCCCTGCAATGTAGTGCAAAGTGGACCACATCACGGGAGACATGTTTATAACTGTGTCTAGTAATGGGGATTACTGGGTGTTGAGCATATCAGTATAGTGACCATCAGTAGATCTGCATCTCCTTATCATGTCAGTGTCATTATTTGCTTCTTACTACTACCCACTGTCTTTTTTTTCTTCCACAAGGGCTTACCTTTTCTCAGGAAGCAAGTTAAATACCTGCTTTGTCCTCATTTTCTCCTTTTTCTGCTTCTTCTGACTCTCTGACTTCCTGCTCTCGTCTCTGCCATCAGGGCTAACCTCCCCAGTAAAGTTCTCTGACTCCCTCCTTGCAGAATCAGGTAGACCTTTTCATACAGGTTAAGGGTGGCAAGGAGTACTTGGTAATTGTAACTGTGCTATGGCTTCCAAGCTGTTTCTGCAGCAGAGTCGAACAGGTTAGGTTACACTAGTGTTCAGCTACACTTGGAAACAGGCTGGGAGTGCTGAGACAAACCGGCACAGCAGCAAGATGGATTAGGCAGTGGTGGGTTTTCTGCACATAATACTTGTTCTGCACTCCCTGTCTGCATGAAGGCTTTTAGTCAGGTCCAGCACAAAGAGCTTAGCTTAAGTTCTGCTGGCTTAAACTGACCTCTTGACTTTGTGCTGGGGTGGCAGAGGAGTATGCACTCATTTTTTAGGTACAACAAGGAGGCACCTGAATAAGAGAGTAGCGGCACTGAGTCAAACCAAGGGGAAATGTAGCCCTGTATTCTGACTCTGCTACTGCCCCTTGGTAGATGTTAAGGTAAAAAATAAAACAGGGAAGGCATGTAGGGATACATTCTGTGCACCACCCATCTGTATTGTATCGAACTCTTGATTCATAATCTGTGCCTTTACATTTAAAAGGCTTTCATTATTTTTTTTTCCTTCCATGACATTGTATAATTGCTTTTTGACTGTATTTATGATACTGGCAGCATCTCACAGTGAATGCCTTTATTCTCTTACACTGTGTGAAAGAAAACCCACTTCTTTTGCTTGCATTAAACCTGCTAATTTCATTGGGCATCCTCTTGTTCTCGTGTAGCGAGAAGCCAAGCATCCATTCATTTATTTCCTAGGCACTTTCCCAGGGTTCTCCTGTTTTTATACATATCTGCCATATCCCCCTTCAGTTGTTCCATTTCCAAGCTGAAAACTCCAAATCAATTTAAGCAGTTCCAAGCTTTAATTGTCCTTCTTTAGTTCCCCCATGTAATTGTTGAGAAGCAAGTACCAGAACAGCAGGCAGTATACAAAAGGGAGTTTTGTATAGTGCTATAAAGGTGTTTTCTGGTTTGTGCTCCATTCCTTTTTTCAAAGCTCTTAACTGCTGGGTTTTTGACTGCCAGTGAGCATTGGACGTATGTTTTCCTTTAGTAAGCTTGCTTTGTTTTTATTAAGTCCTTTTTTTTTATTTATTTATTTTTTTTTAAATTAAGCACAATTTAAATTAATTATTTGGAGTGCTTTTTCTACCTACGGGAAGCTGAATTTCAGTACCTTATGATTAGTGTTTCAACAGTAACATTTGAACCAGACCAGTCCTCTGCTCAGGCAAGATGAAAAAGAGCTGGTTTTAGCAGAGATTTTCCAAACATCATTACAACTAAAGTTACGGCGTTTAAACATTCAGTCTTTGCATTATCCCTATATATGACAATTGCTAAGGTTTTGTGAAAGAGTTTCCAATTAGCTTTAGCCTCTGAGGCTTAGGCAAGGAATTTCAAGACACTGAGAAACTCCTTTTGATGGAAGATCCAGTTTACATTGATTCTAATTTTTCTTTAAGGGAGCATTGCTCCTTCACTGAAATAGCTGAGTGTCTCATCCTATATATTTTTTCCTTTGAAACTGTATGGATTCTTTTCATCATTTTTATGATGCACTGATTATGTCAGTATCTGTGGACCAGTTTCTTATTTTTTTTGTGCTGCTTATGCATATATTTGAATTAAGGCTAGATAGGTAGATAGCAACTTGTAATGCAAAACTCATTTCTAAATCAATGGTTACTGGATCATAAAGCGCATAATGTGTTACATACAGAAGCTGGAAATTATACTGCATTTTCAGTTTGAAACTGAAAGAGTTAAATCCTCTTTAGCTCCTAATCTCAAATGTGCATTTTTTATTTCTTGTATTTTTATATATGTGATATTCATAGATTTTTCTTTTTGTTATGACATTTGTCTCTGTCTCCCACTAATGCATACAGTCAGTCGAAGTGAAAAAATGTTTAACATCCAAAAATAGAATGAACATGTCTTCATTTGAAACATCTTATCTACTATGCAGGATATTAGCATTACTGCTAATTACTACTGCGCTCAATTTGTATGACAATGGCACAACTAAGAACAAGGGGAAAAAAGCCACTTTTAGTTTCACAGTTTGTATCACACTGGTCCTATAAACCTGGGATTTTGTGTGCTGATATTTATGCAATCAGTGAAAATCAGTGCATACTTCACAAGATTTGTGAAGTTTAAGGCATCTGTGACACTTAGGAATTTTCAGATTGGTAAAATGTCTTATGTCAGGGAGGAAATCTTTAAATCGAGGAATCCTTTTTTACAAAATATGTAATATTTCAGTCATTCAATCTCACCAGCAAAGGTAACATGCTATTAAGGAGATACAAAAGTAGACTTCCAACCGAGCACTGCCATGAGGGCTGTTGGGTTTTGGGCACTCTCAAAATACCCCGCACTGTCAGAGCTTAGAATTTTGACTGTGACCAGATCTGATTTTGACATACTTTGGAGATAGAGTTTTGCAAGTGGATCAATGCGCATTTCCCTCCCCATCTTAGACCCCAAATCCTTCTCCCTGCTTTAACCCTGGCAGTCAGAGGGACCTCCTGCAGACTGTGAGAGAGCTGGTCACAGCCAGCCATGCAGAGGCACAACTCTTTGCCCTGATGGCACTGGGGCTCTGTGTCGAACGTGATGCTATCTCGTAAAATCAAATGAAAAAACCAGCAAGTCAGTTTTCATTCTGTTGTCCCTAAGCCCAGAGTGAGTATGAGGGCCATTTAACACAGTGTATTACAATTACAGAAACACCTGGCACAAATATTGCTTTGCTAAACCACTGTGAAAAATTCATAGTATTCAGTAGTTGCAAGGCTGCTCAATTACTTACCTTATTGAGGTGGTTGTGTGGCTGAACATTGTAAATCACTGGAAACACAAAGACATACTAGTACCAGTAATAATTTTTACTCTGCCTGCAAAACACATCTCGTGATTCTTTACTGTGCAGATATAACATCTTTATTTAGTGTTCTACCGATATGTAGTTAAAATTATTTTTGCCAGTTGCTACTAATGTTTGGTCTCACAGGAACCCTAAATTGTGCAATTAGAATTAAAAATAGTGGTAATATGGTCTACAAACATCTCCAGCAGTTTAATACCCTTGCATAGGTGCTTTTTTCTTTGGAAAAGTTTCTCAGAGCTGGACAGTATTTTTAGTTTTTTGTACTAACTGATGAAAATCTACTTGTAAGGCAAGATGTTCACTGCCCACCTTGCAGATAAAAAAGATAACTCAATAATGGCATGGTTTTATCTTTATGTCTTGTGTTAGTTTTTATTTTTGCTTCTAGAAAGGACTTGATTCTTTTTTTTTTAATATTATTGATTTAATTTTTTTTACCATGTTTTTGATGACAAATTTCAGGTACCAGTAAGAAAGCAGTTTTGGACCAGGTGTACTGGTCCATTTGTAATGCAAATGGGCAAATACTAGTAGATAAGATGAGACCATGGTCTATCTTATCTAATAATCCTTCTGACAGAAAGCAGAGGATTCAGAGAAAGTTGCCAGAAATTTCATAGGAGACAAATAGTGGGTAATCTCTCAGCCACCTTAAGTCTTCTCAGAATTCCTTAGTACTTTGAGATAATTTTAAGCCCTGAAGGATAAAGTTTCGACTTTCTTTGAAAACATATTAGCATTACCTATTACAAATCTGGACCTCATGAATAGCAAGAATTTTGACAAATATGAAAAATGAGATAGTGCAAGCATTACTGAAAACTGCAAATCTCTGAATTGTTGAACTGTTATTTACTTTCTAAGCAGGTGAGAGAACTGGGGAAAGGGGGAGGTAGTATGACATAGTGAATAGCCAATATTTTATAGTCCTTTTGATCCTTCAGAAACTCCTGTATTGTGACATAAATGTTATAAAACTAATTTATCCTAATGGTTTGAAATAAGAAAACAGCTCTGCAATACTGCCTATTTGTCATGTATTTGGATGAGAGGAAAGTTAAGGTACCCAGGAAGTGTTAATATGGTATACATTTGGAGCGTGATTTGATCATTAGTCACCAAGAAAATTAATTAACATTTCCTGAACGGTGAATATTTAACTTCACAGAAAACATTTTGAAGTAATCTTTGTATTAGCTGATGAACCAGATAACTTCACATAATCCCATTAATCTAAGAGAAAAGAAGAAGCAGCAGCGTATGTATTTCTCCACTTTATGTGTTATTCCTTTTCTTTCCAGACAACTATTACGGCACCCCAAAGCCTCCAGCAGAACCAGCTCCACTGCTGTTAAATGTAACAGATCAGATCCTCCCAGGTGCCACTCCCGGGGCTGAAGGCAAACGTAAAAGGAATAAGTCTGTGAGCAATATGGAGAAGACAGGTATTGAGCCACCGGAGGAAGAAGAGGAAGAAAGGCCTGTGGTCAATGGAAATGATGTGACAGTAACACCAGGTCTGTGCCTCTTTCTTACTTTGCAATGTGTTTCTGTTATTCACAGAGTCCCCAGTTACCTCCCTCTGCAGTGAGAATACACGTGTTCAGGTAAGGATGTTCTTGCAAGGCTGACAGCCAGGAATCCTGAATAATAGGATTTCTCTGAAGCCTAAAACAAATTACTTAACCTCCATATGGGGAGTCATCTCACTTACCTCAACTACCATAATGGTATCTGCCTCTGAACTAGTCCCTTTGAATCCTCTTTTATAGACCGAAGAGAAAAATACCTACTTTCTGAATACAGTTTGTGTGACCTGTTTTAGATTTCTAGGTTAGGAAATGAATCACAAATGCCTATTTCTCTCCATTGACTATAGAGGGAGTATAGAGAACTGTAATTTGGTCAAATGAATCTAGTCTCTGTGTTTCAGTTCTCCTTGTTCTCAAATGATGATGCAAGAGAGTTCACTACATTATGAAGTGAACTTTTGTAAATCGTTATGAAATCTTGGCAATATTGTGGAGGAATAAAGTTGTCATCATTTGTGGCAGTGCCAATGAAACTTAGCTGGCAGTGCTATCAGGAAGGATCCTTTTCAGCAGTGTTCCAGAGTGTGTATAAAACTGATGAGGGTTTCAGAGGTCTAGACCTAAAATACAGCTGTTGTTTTACCCATTGGATCACAGTTCTACAGAGAAAACGGGGCTCAAGATAGTGACTGGTATCCTGAGTGAGAACACTCCAGCCTATTCACAAGCAGGTAATCAGATTCCCCTTCGGCAAGTCATCCTTTTACAGTACTTAATATTTTGTATTCTGAAATATCATTTAAGAAAATATTTTGTTGTTGTTGTTCATGTAGGAAATTAAAGAATTCAGACTTTTATATCTGTCTGAGAAGTAACTCTGTGAATCCTTTTTGGTGAACTTAGAAATTTGAAAGCAAATTACTGAAGTAGACGTCTGTAGTGGCAATCATATGGATGACAAGATAAAATGGAATATTGCAAGCTCTCTAAATGTATAGCTTAATGTGAAACAAAAAATGCATTACCTAATCTTCTAAGCACTGTAAAAGGATTTTCACACTGCAGATTCTATAAATAGTTTTTCCTCCTACTGCATTAGAAACTGTATGGGGTGAAAGTGGATCTCATACTCCCTCTCAGCTCACCAGAGGGCTGCAGCATTACTCCCTGGCCATTGCCATCACATGCTGCATGAGCCTTGCTCATCCTTTCTTCATAACACTGCATCTGTCAGCAATACTCTGATGCTTACTGCCTTTCCTACACAGCTAACAGAAGATGATGAAGCCCAGAAATCCTTACATAAAACATCACCACTGGCTCTGTTGCCAGGATACTTCCACAGTAAAAGAGGCAAAGGCAGGATTCGGTCTCTGTTGTGTATTGTAGAAATCATTAGAAAGATCATTCTTTGCAGTTATTTGAAATGTGCCACTTAACAGACCATTGCTGAGGAGCAATTTTCAGGGCAATGTGTTTCAGCTTGAACTGGATCAAGAGGTAATGTTTACCTGCTTTTGTCCTCGCATTGCGCACCTCTAATTTACTTCTCCCAGACACATCCTATGTGAACGATGACTGGGCAGCACCCAAGAAACAATGCACTGCCATGTGCTGTGTTACAAAATGAAATACATGAGCATTGGTGCAAGACAACCCCCCTCCTTCCCCTCCTCGCCCCCCACAAAGTAATTCCTGTAGGTGTGGCCAGCAGAACAAGCACTGCCTGTGTTGGCTCTCATGGTTTCATAAGCAGGGTTTTGTTGTTCAGTTACACTGATTGAGGACTTTTGGGTTTGTAGCAAAGCTGCTCTGTACATACATGCTGTGTTGCTTTTGTTGGGCAGCTTAGCTCCCACGAACCCTGTTACCGCAGTCATTTTCTCTGTGAGCTGACAGGCTTATCTACCTCCAAAATGTGTGTGCATTTCTAGTTTGTATCTTTGAACAATCAAGAAAACCAGAATATGTTAATTTTTTATTATTATTTTTTTAACTGATGGTGGAAAGATCAGCCTAGTTTTTAGAAAGCACTGGAGGTAGGGTATTTGTTATTTCCAGTTCTTTTAAAGAGTGTATTCTATTTAATATGCATCACTTCTAACAGGACTCTTTTATTAAGCACAGGACTCTTTGGGACACCCAAAATATTGATACATTTTTTATAGATGCTCAGCAACTTAATGGATTAATAACTGTCTTAAGTATCAGAGCCTGACAACTCAAAGGACTGCTGTAACACCCAGGGCTGCTAGGTTGAAATAATAATAGATCTAAGGTGAATCTGAAGGGAATAAACCCATCTTTATCAGACCAGTAAGTGACATTTGTACTTGCAGAGATCTTTGTGCTTTTGGTCTGATTTTTCAGACCACTTTTCAGTGTCTCTTGAGGTAATCTGTGCATCTCTTTAAATTTTCGATAATTCAGTTCCATGTAGCTTGCTTCATATGCCATCAGATTCTCCTTGGACAGTTGTTTATGGACAGACTGAAGATCTTCAACCATGTTTCATAATTGTCTTCTTGTTAATTTGTGCTGCCCAATGTGTTTATTCTTTCTGATTTTTGTCACCTGTCCTTAGGCCAGAACCCAACAGGAATCCTTCTCAGTTCTTCAGGGTGGGGCTTTTGGCTATTTTAGAATAGAACCATCTCAGTCCTTCATCCTGGATCAACTTCTCTCAGGAGGGATTTATCTCATCCAACTTTAGTAAATTATATGCCTAGATGCATTATTTTGTTTGAGCTACTTGTCTCTGCTCTCTTTATATAAGGAAAGGAGAAAGAGGCAATTCCAAAGACTAAGAAAGCATAGCTGGTTTAGATACCCATCTTAAGGGGTCATCTCCACAATCTAGAATGCGTATTTCGGCCTATAAACACACAGAAGCCTAGATGGCTAAATTTAAATGAAGAACCCTACAATTTGCCAAGCAGTTTATGATCTATTGATTATCTGTTAAAATGGCCAAGTTGAGAGTTAACATTGAGTTTCTCAATTGCCCACATAACTGGCTGCTCTAGGTTGGGTCTCTGCCATTCACTGGTGAATAGCTGAGACATCTTGCACCTAAGAAGCCTTTCCTGATAGATGCTGCATTGAAATGACCAAACCCTGCAAAACTGATGCTTTGACAAAAGAAGTAAAAAGTGTCTTGGTCAAATTGCAACCTGCTTGTCAGACTTTCAGTTTCCACTGCTGTTGCTGTTTGTGTCTGCAGAGAATTAAGTCAGTCTTCTTCACAACCATCATCATGATTTGACGCTTTGTTGATCATGTCACATTTGCTTCACACTTCTGACTGATTAAGTGTTTGTCATCCAAACTCCAGAAGATCCACTCTAACACTGAAAAGATGCTTATATGTATGTGCATTATTCTGACATTACTTGAGCAATGGTTAGTTGCATGCAGAGAATAGAAGTTCTGGCAGGCTCAAATTAATTGAGGAATAATATATGACATAAAGTTTGAAAATGATCATTCCATGCTTTAGGTTGATAATGAAGCAAAAGTCTAGACTCCTGATGCTGTCAATTCAATCACCATGCAAGGTGCAGTAGTCCCACGCAACAGGTTGAGCTTGTTATTTTATTATTATACAGCAAAGACAGACAGAGGCATGAAAATAACACACAAAGCATTTGAGAGCCGTGAGACTTTTAAAAATACAAAAGTTGGTATCCATTGATATTTCTGTTGTACGTGTTCTCTAAACTCAATTTATCCCAGTTAGGTTACAACCTCTGACCTGCAGAATACCCTGTGCTCACTCAGTCTCCATGTCTCCTGTTTTCCTTCTCCCACATCAGCTCCCAATTCTCATTGTGTTAGTAGTCAGTGGGAACAGTGCCTCTCTGCAAAGCACCAAAACCCAAGTATGGCAACAGGTCTGTGGGAAAGGGAGCAGCTCCAAAGCTGCAGAGTGGTATTTGCACAAGAAAATAGATGCACATAGCTTGGCAAACATGAGTTAAACTACTTTTGCATCTAACAGTTATTTAAAATAGATGGAATGTTTCCTGTGCAGAATTTAACAAATAAATTAATCATTTAGATACAATAAGGATTTAAAGAGCTGCAGTATTTTCTTTAAGAGCTGCTAAAACCAATCCATAAATTACTATTTAATGATATTTCCTTTAATTTGTTCTCTGCAGATATTGCTTAGGTCATCTGAATTGGTTGTTTTGGAAGAAAAGAGTTTTTAAACTTCACTGCATGAACAGTCTACACCATTAAAATAAAGGAATAAAGTGGCAAGGTCCTTTTACATGCTTAGATGGCAAATTTTGACAGTTATACTGTAAATAGTAGAAACAATTTAAAGTGTAAGCAGAACTGTTGATGAAAGATCAATTTCTGACACTTATCACAACATAAGTGCCAGTTGTTGGGGTTTTTCTTTAAATAAAATTCTTTCTATTCCACATGTACAGTAATTTGCTGGTGCTTTACTAATACCTATTCTGTCATTTCTCAGGATACTCACTCTTGAGGTACTGTGCTAAACTGCTTTTGAAAACTGGACCATGTAATCTGCTTTGTAGCAAGACAGCAGTTCTAGTAGGCTGTTTGACTTGACATAAAGTCAATTGATTGTTTAGTGAAAAGAATACTTCTGGACTTATACTATGGTACAATTTTAGGATCTTTTTTTATATCATATGTTGTCTGAAACTAAGTGTCTGTGCTCACATTGTGTTACTGTAGTATTTCAAACTTAATTTATACATTTAAGACAGTGCTGATTTTTAATCAGAACTGGGTTTTTATCAAGTCAAACATTGTATATGAATATATATGTTAGCAGAAAGAAAACCAGTAAGGAGACTAGCTATTTTACCTGGAATATGTGAATGATAGATACGTATAACAAAAGATAAGATGACACCTTATCCTAGATAAGTGTGACTAGGTTGTCCATTGTGTAAAACTTAGTGTTATTAAATGGCATTAGGCAATTCTGCCTTAATTTCTTGGGCTCTAGTCATCATGATGCCTTCTTCATTATCAAAGTAAGCTATTAAAAGATAATGATCCTGTAATTAATAATTCATAAGACTGGCTTTAAAATAATTATATTTTTAAGTTGTTAAATAAGCATCAGGTTCCTTTTTCTTCCCTGCTGTATTTTGATAGTAATCTCTGTTTTAGACAAGCTCAGAATATTTCTATTAATCCTCAAGGCTTAATTTTCTTTTTTCTTTTTTCTGCCATACTGGTGGCTGGGATTTGTTAATATAGTTATTGAAAATCAAGAATCTGATCTCTTCAGATATGAAATTGAAAATATGATCTTGAGAAAGAACACGTACGGCAGATATTATGGTAAAATCCCAAGACACAGCAGTGTCACTACATCTGTGCTCTATGAGACCAATAGGCTGATTATTAGCCGCCCTGAGTGATGCAGCTGTGCTCTGAATTCATTTGTTCTGCTGAGGTTATGTGTACCATGTGGCCTTATGTCTTGTCTTCAGGTTCATCTGTACAGCATCTTCACTGTAGTAGAAATGTGGTCAAGGCTGCAGGTAGCCTCAGGAATACAACTCACAGATGTGTCAATGGTGCTTGAGACAGATGAGAACTTACTTTTCCTCTACAGAGATAAGAATAAAACCCCCAAAGAATTTACCAGCAATTGCACTGTCCTGTTCTCAGGGGAAGTGGAGACCATACATCCGCACTGCTTTGCAGGAAAATTTTATGTATTCCTAAATGTTTCTCCTATCTATCAGTCTTTTCTCCTCAAGACTAACACAACTTCATTTTCAGTCTTTCTGTATTTCTAATCTTGTTGTTGTTTTTTTTTTGTCTTTTCTGTTTCCCATCTTCTTTGACGTGAAATTCTCAAGACTGGGCACAGTACTCCTGATTCCACCTGAGGGTGGAAGGACCTGTATTGCATATGCTTAATCTTCCTGCCTATTACAATGCTTGTTTTTCTTTTACGATAGTATCATTATTGATATAGTGGTTAGACATCCCTCAATCCCTCACATGTCTCCATACCTCCATAGTATTTTCACTAGGAATTCTGCCTAGGTGTTTATTCCTCATCTTGTATTTTTACAGCTGATTGTGGCATTTTTCACCACACAGATGCCACATATTTTGGAAAACTAAGGTGAGGAAGGGCAGGGATTTGGGAGTGGTAGACAAGCAGGAGGGGACTTTAGGTCCCTTGGGATCCTGCTGACCTACCATGGGATGCAACTAAGCAAAACTTACATTTGTGTCTCTTGCTAATTCATTTCTTCCCACAGACAGATTTACATTTCCAAACAGCATAGAATGATTGTAGTACAACGTAGTTTTAGTTAAGATTGAGCAGCATTAGCTGCATATGGCTGTAGAGCTATAGACCATCACCCTGTTCAACACTGCATCTAATTTTTTTTTCACACTATTTGAAAAGGCTGTATGTGTCAGTGTCAGAAGTCTTTCTTTAAGATCATGAAAGCTGTATCTACCATTTCTCCCCAAGGAGCAGCACCTGTTACTCTGTCATGAAAAGAAATAAGATTAGTTTTGCACAATTTCTTCCTAAAAAATCTTGACAATTATTTATCACTTTTGAAGAGTTTACATGTAGGTTGTTTGATTACTGATCCCAACATGCTTCTAGGGATTAAAAAAATAGAAAGATATGAAGATACAATTTCATGTGTTCTTCCTCCTCTTTTTTTATTTCAAAATGATGTAACAGCCTAATTGAGCAAATTATCAAATTATTTCAAAGGGTGCTCTGATATTAAGAATATAAAACTATCTAAAAACGTGAATCAGATATACTTTGCTGAAACCAGGGCTGTGTCTGTCCTTTCAAAGTTTCTTTTCTCCATGAAGTCTCAAAGGTGTGACCATTACCAGATACGAGTCTCCTTCATTGGTTCCCTCAGTAGCCTAGGTTTCATTTCATCAGGCTCTGCCAGTTGAGAATGGCTGCTTCATCTAAATTTTACCTGACCTGTTCTCTGCCCACTCTTCTCCATGTTCTTTAGCCCTATTACTGACATTAATTACATCAGTCATTTAATCACAAGTAATCTTTCTGCAGTAATGACTGAGGCAAGAAGAGTGCCTTGGGTTTTTTATGCGTCACATACTATTAGTTTTCCTTCCTTTCCACATAGGAGAATGAGTCTGCTTTTGGTATTATTATTCTTATTCTTGTTGTTGTTATAATTATTATTAATTATTATTATTATTATACTTACAGAAAGTTTTTTTGTCACCTCTAATGCCCCTAGACCGACTCTTGTGTTTTGCTGTTAGATGCCCATTTGTTTTTCTGTCTTCATCCTTAACAATTTAATCTAGGTCTCACCTTTTTTACAGTTCTGTCTCACACAGTAGACCATTGAAAAGTCGTGGCTTAATAAAAATGGTCTCTACTTATACTATTTTTCTTTTTCATTAGAAAAATTTGTGCTTGCATTCTTCGTATTGTTTATTTAATCTTTGCCAGTTCTCCCGAAGTCCTTTTCCTTTACCCTTGCTTGCCATAACATCGTATTTATTAATTCTGTGAGTCTGTTAAAATCTGGAGGTTTAAAGGACGTTGTTGTTAATTTTTTTGCTCTTTATTCTTGCTGTCCTAAGCATCACAAATTAGATCAATTTCACCCAAGCTGTCTTCCACCTCCTACGTGTTTCACAAAAGTATCTGCGTAGTTCCATGCTCCGGATGCAATAATACAGTTCATTTAAGGAATTGTAATCTTGGAACTTTTTTGTAGATTACATTGTTGATGTCTTTTAAAAACATGTTTTCTATTTTCATTTCTATAATTATTCAGAGACTTCAATATAGTCCGTATAGTATTACTCAGAGCAACTGTATATGTATTTTTGATGATACAGAACAATACATCCTTAATTCCTTACTATCTTTATGAACAAGCTACAGTAGTCTCAGTCGTGTTTCTACTACACCAAATATGTATCATTTTGTTTAAATACTAGTGTGAAAGTTCACAGTTTGTTCTCAGTTCTCCTCTGATGTCCCTATGATTTGTATCTGTTGGTGACTTTATGTTACTAGCCTTCACGTAACCTAATACAAAGCCATGCTCACTAGGTCTCAGATTCATCTCCACCCATTTTAACGATATATCTAGAAACTGAGAAACTAGACTAAGCAGGACTGAATTAGGTTTACCTAACTTGACATGCAGGGTCATTTCAGCCATCTGACTACAATCCCATCTTAGTCAGTAGAGATTTGGTCAATGTATTACAATTTGCATTTATTTTTGTTACAGTTCATTTGGCCAAAAGTAGGGGTCTGACTACTTTTTCAGTGAGATCAAGCTTCATTTAAGTGCAACATCAAAAAAGGATCCAAGGATGAGACCTTCTGTTGTCCACTGAGGAACAGGTTCCTGCAACAATTTTCAAAAGAAATAATTCCTTAAATACACCATATAATAAAACACAGCTTACAAACACATCCTTAGTAGACTGATCAACTAAATTTTTTTCATCTCCACAGATAAAGGAATCTCTTTCTTTAGTAAGACAAGTTCACTCAACTATCCTCTGTTTGAGCTAGTAGTAGTCAAGAAAAGGTTGTGTTTTCTCCACCTTCATTAATAGTTCTGTGCATGGAAGCCCTGCTATATGATACTCATTCATGCAGATGAACATGTAGACTCTTAAGTGTGGAGGTTAGTGTTCAGCAATGTGGATAAGGCACATCATTGAAACTTCTAGTATTGCACACCCAATCCACATTTAGCTGATCGTTTTGAGGTATCTTTATGAGTTTGTCTTAATGTTTGTGTTCAGCAGTTGTTCTAATGAGTGTCACGAAGTTCTGCTGCACTTGCTTAACTAAAAGGATGTGGACTGGACTTTGGGAGCTAGTAGTGGAGGAGATACTGCTGGACAACATCTTTAAAATTTCTGACTTTATGCAAAGTAAAATCAGTTAAAAGTGGAAGATCAAGTACTGAAAAAAAACAGAGGAATGGATCACTCCTTCCTGAATACATTCTTGTCACAGTGAGACACAACCACATTGGGTATAGGAAGCATTTGGCATTGGCTGTGGGAAACCAATCTTCCCACAGATTCCATCAGTCACTTTCTATGCAGCCACTTTCTATACAGTTAATATATTGCTTGGAGTTTATGGATGTCATATTGATAACTTTGATTTATGGATATAGGTAAAGCAATTAGTGTATATACTTTTTTAATTGAAAAGGATTGTTTGTCTGTAGTAAAACAGCAGGGTAGTTGCTTTATGTGTGTATAGTTTTAAAAGTTAAGACACAAGACAGTAGCACTGCTGGATATGAAGCTGCTTTCTGCTCAGTGCTTATTGCTGGTCTGGAAGGACTCCTGGGACAGAATGAGCCAGAACTCTTTGGTTTGTTTCTTAGACCTTTATTAGTTTCTTGTTTCAGTTTGGGCTTATTGCTTTATTTTCTTTTATTGTGTTCCAGATAAAATGCATCATCAGACGGACCCTTGTGTAAACCAAATAGAACTTCTCTTTATTTCAAGACTTGCAGTTCATTGTGTATTCCTTGGAGACTTGCACCCAATAAATTCTCCACCATTAACTTGGATATTCAAAACTGTAATTTTTCTTCTCTTGTAGAATCAAGTGAACATGAAGAGAAGAGTACAGGTGTCTCAGGTGAGATATCTTCCACCCAACCTTGTCCTGCACCAGGATATACTCAGCCTGAAGAAACAAAGGAGGATATGGATGTAACAAAGCAGACTAAACCTGAAGAGAATGATGACTTGGGCCCACTGCCTGATAACTGGGAAATGGCTTATACAGAAAAGGGGGAAGTCTACTTTATTGAGTGAGTCTTATTTCTTCTCTTTCTAGTAGCTGTATCGTATTTAACTGGGTGGGGAAATGGTTTGTATGGTGAAATGGAGCATTGCACTCCTCATTAAAACAGCAGGGATGTTCTGGCTGTCAAGGTTCCTGAGAGCTGGTGGCAATCCCTGCATTATTGACTTACATTGAAACGTGCTGTTTTTTAAGACTGGTAACTGTACTGCGTAGCGCTTTGATGGCAGCAATTAATGCTGTTGTTTCTTCTGTTGGAAGCAAGTTTTTCCTGTCACTCTGCTGCTTATGGGATAGTAGCACAATTGCTGGATACTTCCTTATGTGGAGAGAGGTGAAGAGGGATGAGATTTTTGCCAATTTAAGGAAAGAAAGATAGGCTAAAAAGTAGCTAGTGAATGGTAGCGGGAGGCTATGCTACATTTATAAATAATAAAATAAATGAGTGGACAATAAGGGGAGTTAATAATGTGTAGAAACTTTTACCTGTTAGTAGGCTATACATACCTGCTGCTACTGTTGCTACTTAGCCAACTCATAGAACAACTGGATATGAAAGTTTTTTCTTCTCTGAGTGCTGACATCAACGCACATTACTAGAATAAGAACACAGAAAATAAGTGAGTTCATATGACCTTATGTTCCACAAAAAAAAAAAAAAAAGAGAAACGAAAAACCTCCAACAGTATCTTCATCAGTAGAACACTACTACAGAGATAGCACTAGCATTTATGTTTGCCTTAAGGAACTGCCTCAAACAATTTGGAATTGCCATTATTCTGATTATTAGTAGGTAAAAATAACATTTAGTGGTGTCACTTCTGCTTTAAGTCCCTTATTTCATGTAAAATTTTATGACTATCACATGAAATGTAAACAAATGATAGGTATAAAGTTTGTGCACATGATTTTGCATGAATACTGGCATGACCAACTATAGCTTCTGGCATATACAAAGCTGAAAAGAACAGTAACTATTAAAACATAAGTGTCTTTGTTGAAAAGAGCAAAAATACGCTTATTTGGAAAGGAGTAATTATAGTAGCTTTGTCCAAGCAAGTAGAGAAGAACTAGCATAACCTCAGGGCAAGCTCAAACCCTTGTTTCCTTCTTACCTCACTCTCAAATTTAATTTTTCTGGACATATTGAATGCTGTCACAGAGAGCAGACTGAATTATGTGGCACTTTTATTTTACTTGTAGTAACAAAAGCTTGTGATACATTTGGGGGGTGGGCGACAAAACTACGGGTAGGAACTAACGCACCAAGCTACAGCAGTGGTAAACACTGCAGCAGACAGTTTCATAGGAAAAAAATGTATATTTTGTAACAAATACAGTGAATGTTACAGCTTACTTCCTTTCCTGGGAATGCTCTGGTTTACACTTCTGTTCTGGCAGTGCTCATCATTCACTTCCCCTAAATGAATGTTATGTAAAGCAGAGAAATCAATCAGAGGTGCAGACTGGACAGGAAGACTGCTCTAAGGGCTACTTGCCTTTGGGATTATATTATTAAATAATGTAATTACAAAAAAGTGCAATTACACTTGTGTAAAAATACCAGATTATTTACTAGAATCCTAGCAAAGGAAAAACTTTGATCATTTGAGTTTTCACATTGCACAGTCTTCACAGGGTTAAGTAGGAATGTAATGCTGTGGGGATGCTGTTAAATTGCCTCTTTGTTTACAAGTCACTTTGGTTAATGGCATGAAGAGACTCCATTTGCTTTCACAAAAAAACGGAAAGATAAAAAGACAACAAAACCCTATTTGTCTAACAACATCTCCCTGAACAGTAGTATAGATTGTACTAGATTATTAAATAATAGATGAAAACCAAATATTTTTAAAGTGTACATCACAATGGGTGGAAAAAAGTCATACTAGGCAGCAGCTTTTATTGCTTTATTTGAGGTTCATATTAATTGCGCCTTTAAACCCTAAGGACTTCAAGCAATAAGCGATCTCAAGTTCCAGGTTGTCACAGGTATATCCCAGAGGTCTTAGATTTCCTGATGGCATTTACATTCATTCACCTCAGACTAACCTCTAAAATTTTGCATGTGAGCTCATTTATCAAAACTGCCATCAGAGGTAAGGTGGCAGATTTACAGTGAGAGAGGGAGTGACTTCATAAGAAGAAAGATAACTGTCTGTAGACAGTATTATTTATTTGTTAATCGTTAATGGCCCAGTTAACATTTTGCAAAGCACACTGGAAGGAGTTTCCTCTACCTCAAGGACTAAACAAAAATAAAAAATCATATATTAGATTCACTGCATGGTTCAGAGGATGGTTATATTTTAGACCATGGCTTGGTCTGTTTATTCCTTTCTTTCCCGTTTTTGACATAGGTGCATGACCTTATGTTTACCTATATTAGCATTCACAGACAGAACAGGAAGAGTATCCCTTCTTACTGCATAATACCACTGTTTTTCAGGAAGAGCTACTTAAGCACATTTCTTGGGCTGTTTCCAGCCTCCCTTACATAGGAATTCAAATTTTCAGATAGAGGCACACACGACACACAGGAGTCAATCTCTTATATTCTATTTCATTGAGAACATACACAAATGAGAACATTCAGTAATTAAAACGCTATATATTAACTGGAATAACTCTAAAGAAACCTCCAGTTCTCCTTCTTTCCTACTTTAAATACAGCTGATGAGTGTGACCTATTTTGGCGTGCTTAAAATAATTGTACCCATCACTGAGTTTTAGTTTTTCCCTCTCCCAGGGGTAAGGAAGGGCTGAAATTCGCCATAACCTTCAGACGTCATCTTGCCAGCTACTCTTAAACCACATACTAGAAACATGAGCATCATGTTGTCCTCATAAAGTCAGCAGATACTGGCTGCGTTGGATCTCAGGCAATCAATGTTTCCTGTGTTGGTCCGGTACAGTGTTGAAGGGAAAACAAAAAGACCAAGGTTCTCAGTTCATCTGTTAATCATGTGCAGTCAGCATTAAATGCAGCCCTTGCCCAACTCTTCAACTCCATCAGATACCATTATATTATAGACTGTCCCATAGAGTTGTTTACAGATTATGATACTTATTTATAAGAGGCAGAATTGATTTTGCCTCTCCAGCCCTCTATTCACCTGTAAGCAGCAGAGCTTTCTGGAAGGTGTGCAGGGAGAATAAGACATTAAACTGGAAAGAGCTACAGTTTGTCAAGCTGAGCTACAACTAAGCCTTGAAGAATAGTCTCAAGGATATAACGTAGCCCATAACTAAAGCTATTTAATTCTATACTGTTCAAAAGCACATACAGTTTCATTTGCTTATACTACATTAAAAATTGTTTTGTTAGTCGAGAGAAGTCTAGAATAAACTCACATCTCTTTAATACATCTTTAAAGGATCATCTTTGACTTGTAGTGATGATTTTTAGGACAATTTGACCACATGAGGTTTAACAAACCACTTTATAATACATCTTATATTCAGTCTCTTCCTACTTCAACATCTACTTCTCCAAGCAGCCAAGTCGAGATTGCTTTTTGGACCTTTTGCAGTATCTTTTCTAGTTGTTAAAGCATCTTTTTTTACGAGGGCACCATAAAAGACTACAAAACAGCTATAAAATAGTCCTCTGCCAAGGACTCTTCTCTTCACAGTAAAAAACAGGCATTAAGTTTTTGAATACAGCTGGTGCTATTTTAGATGTTACCTGAAAAGAAGTACATTGGAAAAGTAAAATCCTGACCTAGTTTGTTTCTAGGAATATTGCTACTGACTTCAGTGGGGTCAGTATTTCTTCATAGTAGTTTTTAATGTAAGAAAGTCTTTTGACTGCAGGAATAAGATGTTTATCCTAATATCTTGCTTACCTAAAGAGTCATGATATATTTAGCTATTCCTGGTTGCTCCATCAGTTCACCATCAGAAAGCAGGATATATTAATTAGTCCTGGCTGCACCATTACATTTGATAAGTTGTATCTTTTACACTAGAAGGTACTAGAAGTACTGAGGTGGAAGTACACCCTCCTACCTGCTCAAGATTGCTTCCATATCATGCAGTAATTACCCAATCTCTTAGAAGCTAGCTTGGCACTTTTGTGAGTATTACGTTCTCAGTGTATCAGTGCTTAATATTGAATATTGCCATGTTTTGGTTGCGTAGTTATTTCTGCTACTTTAATTAAGTATCAATTAAGATGAAGGATATTTTTTTGCACATACTGTTTTAATATTTACTTCTGGTGGGTTTGTTCTTTGGGAAACAAGCCATCTTGTGCCAGTATGACTTTAGTGTTTGGACAACTCTGAATCATCAGGAGTCTTGTGAATATGATTGTAGATGTCTGCAGTTCTTTATTCTTGCTTATATGTTGTATTGAATTTGTCAGTTTTGGTCAGCATAACAATGATCAGATCTTCAATGCTCTTTGGACTTCAATGTGACATACACTGGGACAGGCAACAGAAAAGATTTCTCTTGGTTTCTTTCTCCTGAGACCACTTCCTTGCCTCATGTCACATTAATTGAGAATGTGGAGATGGTAGAACTGGAATGAATTTGGGGAATGCTGATTTTTCTTTCTTCTCCTGTCTTTTGATGTTATGAAGACATTTTCAGTCTGCGCTACTGGTGTCCTGTCCCTTGCTCTCACTTGCTGTTTTTATCTATGCTGACATCCATATCAAACTGCCAGCTCAACTCCTGTTGTCTTTCCTCACTTTCTTATTTCTTTCTTTTCCTCTGTTGCTCTGCTCTGCAGAATTCCTCTTCCAACACCTATAATCTGGTGTTTGTAGTGGTATAATTTTTCTCCTTTCTATTTATGGAGCTGGAAGATTCAGCTTAGCTATCTTGCCATATAGCATTAGCCATCTAGTATAAACCAGTCTCTAAGACTCTTTCTGTGGTCAATGGAGAGAGATAATTACCTCCAGAAGCTGGTTCATCCAAGCCAAAGATGAGGGCAGAATTAATTTGCCTAAATATAGATGCTTCTACCAGTAAAGACACCCTTTCATATCCAAG